AAATTTGTTTGTTGATTAGTTTTTATTTATATTAAACTTAAATATAAAATTAAAATAAATTTTTTAAGGTTAATTCCGTTTTTATTTTCAGTCATTATTTCATTAATTCAGTTTTTAATTTTTTTAATTTTTTTTTTTAAATTTCTATTTATTTATTGTGTTTTATATTTTCATTTTATATTCCTTTTTTTGACATTTTTTTAAATTTGTGTAATCATTTTTTTTATATTTTTTGTCTATTTTTTCCGAATTTCTAATTTTTTAAATTTTTAATAACTCCTATTTTATTTTTGTTATGTTTTTTAAAATAAAAAAAATACTTTTTTTTTTGAATTTTGTCATCACTCACCCGCCTTACGCGTCAGAATTAACTACCTCGTCGCGTCAACTAATATCTCAATTCCTCACTGTTTCCCAAATTACCTGATTTTTTTTCGTGCTAATTTTAGCTATGAGTAAGCTCCAACAACTACATACACATGTATGTATCAACTCTTGCAAACGGATAACCATAAGTAGTAGTGTTATAGTCCTCACCCTTCAACGCCGCCGCTGCTCAGAAAGGTGTGAAATGGTAATGTGTGAATCCATATGTGAAATAAGCAAATGAGTTCATGTTCATCATAACCATGCATACATACATACGCGTACATACATATGTATGTGTATGCGCCGGGTAATTTGTGAGGTTATGAACGGATTGAGGTGCTACCTACATAACTACCGGTTTTTTTTTGATTGAGGGGAGGTGCCTAAATTTAACGCGACGTGAACGTGACGTGAAAAAAGTACAATAACAAAAAAAGTAGTCTTAATACATCAACCGTTTGGAGCAAATATGGCGCTTCTCACGAGTAATGGCTGCGTCGGCTAATGAGTAAATTGTGAGTACAACGACCTCCGTAGGGAATTTGTGAAAATAGTAGTGAAATTGCGTGTGTGGGAGAGCGTTTGATTTAAAAATACTTTGGGGGGCAAAAAAAACTTACATTGAGAACAGCTTTAGGGAAGTTTAAGTAAGGAAGACTAAATTCGGTTGGAACTGAGCATTTGACACTCGGCTGATATTTTCAATAAGCGCCATGCGAATTATCTGGCTTTCATAGAAGAAAGTTATATGGGAGGTAGGCTTGGTCGTGGAGCCGGTTTATCTTTTTTCTTGAGAAAATGCACTTCGCCAGCTCTTCCATCAAGTCTCGATCCAATCGACCATATTCTAATACTATCAACCGATGAAACGAAGTTCCATTATTTCCTCCCAACAATTTGGGATCTTGTACCTCTCAAGAATTCTCGTTTGTTCAAGTCGTTGATGCAGAGTGCAAAGACCGCTGTCTTTGATAATCCATTAAGGACGTCATTTGACGTCTTCTAGTGTGCTTCACTTATACAAATCAGGGCTGATCTTTCAATTAGAAGGTTAGTCTGCCCCTGTTACTTTGTGTAACGCAAGTAACCATACAAATGTAAAGGTCCCGTGCGTATCCTAGATCTTAAGCCGCTATTCTTACCAATAGCTCTTCACATCTAGTGCCAACGTTATCTGGCTTTCCGGTTCCAGTCAGGCTCGATCTTCGTCAAGAAATTTGTCTGTGATTTCCGGGTTACGGTCAACATCATTTAGAGTTTACGGTTTTTTGTCGGTCTTTAGTGTACACCTCATGGTGAATAGGTACCTGTTCTCTTCTATTTTATTTATGTTGAGGCAAAGTCCACAAAGGATAGACCAGTTAGATGCCCTTGGAAGAGTCCCCGGCGAGAATTGGAATAGAATTTGAAAGGATTTTGCCTCCACCAAATACTCTCCCTCCTAAGCAGTTACTGTCAGAAGAATGGGCTACCTTGAGGTATTCCTCTGCTTACGAAAGTTGACACCTGAGACCCTCTCAGGCTTCTGGTTATAGTATTGTACAGGATTAGCTGATCTTTGAATTCAAACAGTGGCGTGTTTAACTATAAGCTCTCTTAGATAGATTGAAGAGCGACGGACGATGGACTTATGGGACTGAACACCTTTAGGCTATTGTGTGTGATCTAACTGGCTTTCGGTATTAAGACGGCTGGTTACATTTTGACTGGGTTCAAAAGTTATCTTGAGCCAACACATTTATTTTATTTTATTTTATCTGGTTACATTTTGACTGGGTTCAAAAGTTATCTTGAGCCAACACATGGAATTTTCTGGTTAACCTAGAGAAGATCGACATTAATCTTCATGAGAATTCTGTGGCTAAATTTTTTATAAATTTTGATTTCTTCTTGAACGACTCTTCGTATAGTCTGCATAGCTTTATTCGAAGCGTCTCCTGAATGATTTATACCAATTCTATTGACCACCACTGCGGCTTTCGCTTGCACCATGGTATTCGTTTGCTTTTGAGCAGACTGTAGTGAGGAGCTCTGAGAGATCTTCGACAGATTATGTAGCACCTCAACCGATTGTAGTAAAGAGCTCTTGTAAGCTTCATAAAGCCAAAGACAAGGTTTAGATAGACAAAGACTACGAGCTTCGCGAAGCTACCAAGGTAAGATGGACCTCCTTCACGGGCCCAATAGACCCCTAATATAACGGAAGGCAGCCACCAATAACTGCGGAACTCTATAAGAGTTCAAGTATCTTGGAAGTTGCGAATCTAGTTATAAACTACGCAGAATCTATATTACATATATCAACTTAAAACACATATATGTATATCCATATGACGTATGTACTAATGTACATAGTAAAAAAAAATGCCCATCACTTAAAACAGCAAACTATTTTGGCGTAATTGCCGTCCGCCCATAAACTTGAACTAATGATGTGTGAACCCTGTCCATTTTGGGCCGCTCAAAACTGATGATGCTGGTGATGATGATAGCACTCCAACAACAATCAATATTTACGATTTCACACCGACGCACTCAACGAGTCAATTTTATTTTATTTTATTTTGATAGCACTCCAACAACAATCAATATTTACGATTTCACACCGACGCACTCAACGAGTCAATTGGTCAATTTACCAAATTTCACATGTTGTAAAAAGACAAATACAACAACAGCACCAAAATTGTGTGAAAATAAATACAACACTACGGCAACAACAATAGCAACATCTAGCCATAAGAGTCGACGAGGTGTAAAAAGTGAACATTGAAAAAGACAGTCACTGCCTACCTACACACACATACACACAAACATACTCACAAACCTTCTATTCAACTTAAGTGCGAACTAGGCAGCATAATGTGTCACTAATAGGGGTTGTGCTTAAGTACGAGTATTTGCAACATATGTCAGTAGCAACAAAGTGTGCTATAATAATATTGACTTTTCCAAACCAAAATCATCCTAACGGAGAAAAGATGGGAAAAGAAAGTAGTCAATGATTTTGTGAAAAAAAAAATCGTAAAAAACCATATTCTACATATATACTTAAATATATACATTCCCAACAATCAACTGTGTCCACTAGATAGAAAGGTAGGTTTCCTTCATGTCCTTGCGTACGGTAGCACAGTAACAGCACCAGGACACACTCTTCGAGTACTCGGAAATTGTTGTATAAACACTAAGGAGCGTATAATGTAAGCGTACGCTAGCAACAACAACAACACTAGGAAGGACAACAGCACCTTTCGCTAGAAAAGCAAAAAAACCCTACACTCAGGCATTTTGCTGGTCTTTTTTATCTACCCAGTAAACGCAGTGAGAAAGGTGCAAGGCCAGGAACACTCATTCGCACTTCACTTTAGCGTTTGATATGCTGTGGCTTTCAAAATGGGGAAAAAAATAAGTTAAACTCCTGATGAAATAAAAGGATAATAGTAGCAAAAGTAGTGGTTAGTGCTGATAGAGGCAAGCAATGTTGTTAAGTAGCAGTTGTTGTGGTGTTGTTAGCTAGTTTGTTGCTATTGTTGTTGATTTGTGCATAGCTTGTGGCAATTCTTGACTGTTTGCTAACATTGCTCCTGTGATTGTTGTCTCTTTTTGCTGTAGTTTCTGAACTAAATCTCTTGTAATGGCAGGAATTAGTTTGGAGTTTGAGGTTTTATGCTTTCTTATTTAATTATATGTTATTTTATTTTATTTTATTTTATTTTATTTTATTTTATTTTATTTTATTTTATTTTATTTTATTTTATTTTATTTTATTTTATTTTATTTTATTTTAATTTAATTTAATTTAATTTAATTTAATTTAATTTAATTTATTTTATTTTATTTTAATTTTTTTGATATATATTTTTTTTCTAGTTTTCCTTATCTGTTTCTTTGCCATAAAATATCAATTTGTTTCTACATCAAGCAGCTGAATTTTTATTTTCAAGCCACAACAATAGCCAGGTCCTCATCATCTTCCTGTTACACACCCACTTAAATGTCTACACGCTGGCTCGTAGGCTATTATTGTTGCAATTAGAGAAATAAATGTGTAAAATTACAAAAATTAAGTGGCGTATATTTACATTACAATCATCGACAGCAAACGCCTACTGTTTGCCCACCTTTTTCACACCTCATTTCACCACGTTATCCTATATGCATACGAGTACATACACACCACAATCGCACAGACATATGGACGACACACAATGATTGAGGAAAACGCCCTTTTCAAGTGCAATTTTCCTTTCTTAATAACGAAAACAATAACAACAGGAACTTGGCACCTGAATATTCACGAGTAATAATAAGTACTCGTATATATGTATGTACATAGCTACATACATACCCATGTTGGGCAGAATGTATATATATATTTACTATACTCTAAGACTGTCTCTGTTTTGCGGTTCACCTTTATTTTTGGGCGCAAGCAATTTTCACAATTTTCCTTTACTTTTTGCCTTATATCCTTGTGGATTTATTGCGGATCCTTGCTGTGGTTTGTAGGAGTGCTAAGCAGCAGTTATACATACATACATATATAGCGCACACTTTAGTTTGTAGGTACACCTTTGCATACACATACAAATATATATGTAAAAGTAATTTTCATACTTACCTTCATGCATACTTGTCTACCACCGTAGAGTCCGGATATCCTTCTTCCTTTGCCTTGCTGGAATATCATTGTTCTCGTATTTAATTTGATTACATGTCCTTTTGTTGTGCTCTGTGTGGACTTTTAAAGCTGTTGCAATTTAAGAAAATGAAATTATTTTGTGTCACACATTGTCCCTTGAGACAGCGCCGAAGAAGAGCTCGTGTGTTCTGAAAGAAAAACAGCAACAAGAATAAGTCATAGTGAAAGTGAGGTTAGCGCAGGTAAATAACGGTGTTGGGTGTTTTGAATTAAATGGAAATTAAAAGTGAATGATAATTTCAACTTGGAGAATATAAATGAGTTACTCGTTGTCCAGTTTGGAAGAGTTCATATTAGAAATTAAGATCCTATCAGAGATGCGCAGATCGTGAAATCGCTCTCAAATCCCTTAGAAATCACATCGTTATAGAAAACTACTTATAAACTAATTCAGTCTGTAACTCAATCACGCATTGGCTAATCGCACTGAGGGCTGGATGGTATCAGAGTTGGTAACCTACCGACTCCTTCTCATTTACATTTCTGCTGCTTTATTAAAAATCAAAAGAGAAGTCGCCCAAACTCCTATCGTAGGTCTTCATCCCCCTGTTGTTATTGTTGTAAAATATTCCCCAAAGCACCTTTTGGAGAATGTCGCGGGAGTGACAGTCCTTGCCGGTTAAAAAGCCGGGTCGTTCCGGTATACCATGTTTTTATGCGCTTTCCAATACTATTGGAGAACCGGTTTGGAACAAGTAGAGTTTTAGAAATTTTTTCTCCGACTTATCTATCTACTTTTGAAGGGCGACCGTAGTAGTTACTTTGGTTTTCAAAGTTTATTGTGGTCAATACCTTAACGGAACACAATGAATTAACGCGATGTCACAGTGGTGTGCCCTGTGTTTTAGTCCTCCTCTTCCGATCAAAAATGGTAACCCTTTTGGCTAGCGTATTAAGTTTGAAAAGTAAAGTTTATTAGAGGGAGAACCCGGCGACCTTCTGTAGGTTGTGCTGACTTTTCCATTCTCTTCAATATCGGAGCCAATTTGGTGGAAAAACTCGCGGCACTCAGGGGAGTAAACTTCTATCAACGTCCTTCTTCATCTTCTTACGCTCTTATAGCCCGCGATCGCCGCTAGTAATAGACTGTGAAGTCAGCTTGCTCTTGACTGGAGCTTTCCAATTTCGTAAAAATCTTTCTCAACTCCCTCTGCTACCATCACCGGGTACTGCATCGAGAACTTCCAGAGTTGGGGTGCTTTCGTCCCTCCGGACGACATAGCCTAGGAGCCTAGCAGAACACGGCCTGTCGGCATGCCTTCCGATGTAAAAACTCGGTACTCTTGCGTTGAATGGAGCCCTTTAAGTCTAGTTGTAGCCAAGGAGGCACTGTCTTTTGAGTAGCTATCTCGCTTAGCTCATTTTTCCGTTAGTCTGCTTGGTCTGGAGTTCACCGACAGACAGAACTCTACTTTTCAATTACCTTCTTGGACTAACGTAGCACCTGTTGGCAAGTGTGATTCCGCTTTGGAGTCTTCACGAAAATCATCAGTGCACAATTTTTGCTCTCAAGAGAAGCTAATCTTTAACCAACAGTTCAGAGAAACCAAGCACTTGGCATCTCTGTAATGATAACAGCTGCTTCTCGGAATTTTGAAATACAAAAACACAAACTTCCCACAAATCGTAGCTACTGTGTTTTGATAGCACTTCAAAATTTCAATTTGAAATTTGTTTCCAATTTTTCTTCAAACTAGACAAAAACCAGTCATAAGGTCAGTTAATTGAAAATACATAAACTAAAATACAATTTACAGCCAAAAGAGAGCAGACACGCTTCCTGGAAATAGAAACTTGTTAAAAAATTTCAAAAAAAAAACAGTTCTAGACCCTAAGGAAAAATTCAATACTCACTAAGTCAACAAATGAAGAAGAAAAAAAAACACCAATCAAGCGAGTGATGATGAGTTTTTGAAGTGTTGAAGTGCAGCAGAAGACACAGCCGGAGACACAATAAAGGGAGAAAGGGAATGCAAGCAACGTTTAGCGTATGTGCGCCGAAGCAATGATGGCAAAAAGATGGGAAAACAAGAACATATTTCTCTATTCTACAAACATAACTAAACATAACTATTTAAGTACTTTACAAGCAACGTGTGTATGTAAATACCGAGCACAGAGTGTTTGTAAATTGATATAAGAATTATGAAAATTACCATATGGCACCTTCAGCGCTGTCAGGGAGTTCAAAAAAAAAAAAATGCAACACTTACTTATTTTGAGGTTATAAGCCATACATACAGCACAACTCGACGCAAATACTTAGTTGGCTGTCAGCAGCTCATCATTGTCATGAATCGTCTAAGCACATTGGCTACTAGGCACCTACTTGGCGCTTCTCTATTTGCTTGACACTTGAGAGTCGGCGCGCACTTCCTAGAAAACGCTTGGCGAGATTTTATTTTATTTTTTATATTATTTTATTATGTATACTTTATTTTTTAGAGTTTTTCATATTTCCCCTGAACCAAACTAACTCTAGATGCATTTATTTGGCGCCCGCCCAAAAGCTAATGTGCATTTTTACGCCTTTCCGCTGTTACTTGAAGTCACAATTTGGCTTATATACATATATTGAACATACATCGCACGAGAGAGGTTAGCCAATAAGAACATCAAGCATGATCGGCTCCACTCTATGCTGGCTCGCTCTGTAATGCCACTCGTATGCAGTATTAAACAACAAAGATGACGCGATTGGCTTTCGCCTAGAAATACATACATATATGCATATGTTCATACTGAAATAACGGAGCACACGTTGTGTTTGTTGTTGTTGCTTTGTTGCTTAGCATTTAGTGGCCGCTAATACAAGGCAACAACAAGTGTTGTGTCAATGAGTGGGAAAGGAAATCGTCACTTGCGCACTTTCCTATGCACTCTACTAGCTGCTGCTGTTTATGGACTGCTTTGCACTTCCTACACTTACACTTATGCGCTTGTAATTTTCTACTTAACTACTCTTTACTTCAAATAGTAATTAATAAAATATCGAAATAAAGAAAAACAGCGAAGAACTTGAGAACCAACTTGTAATTTCATATAGACTCTTATATTATTTGTTAAATACTTTTTGATTAAACTCATCTTTTTCTAATTAAAATAATAGCTGGGCAAGTGAAAAAATGCAACTACGTGGATGCGCTCTTATTTTTTTAGATTTATATTTTCTTCTTTTTTTTTTTGGTTAGAAAAACGGATGCATGCTACCTTTCATTGCCTCTCAAATGTCAACATGCCGAAGCACCCATGTATTTAACTGACCTTTTTCTTAATTTCTCCCTACTTTTTTTCTGGCTTCTTTTACACTTCTATTTCCAGTACAATTTTTCGATTAGTCATTTAGCTGTTTATAGGCTTTTCTTATTTTCCCTTTTTCTCCTCTTTTATAATTTGCTCAATTTTTTTATCCTTTTTTTTGGTTGAAAATTTGTTTGAAATTATACTGCAATGGTATTAATGGTGCATAAATATGTGACCGTGTACATTTAGATATACAAAAATTTTTTTTTAATTTTCAACTGTAATTATGGCAACTTAATGTCAAATAATTGTGTCATTAGTTATAAGCCGTGTGCCAATTATGTTATTATAATTTCATTTTCCTGAAAAAGTATTAAATTTCTTTCAAAAAAAATCACCATGTACGAAAATAGCCCCAATTTAAATTTATTTTGACAAAATTTTGCACTTTTTTATGTTTAATATTATTTTACCACTAAAACTGTGGTTTAGCCTAGGAAGAACAGTTCCGGTTAGGGGACACTAAAACTGTTGATATTCAATGTAATCGATTGTCGATACTTTCGTATACAATTTATTTATTAAGTTTGCGTATTGCAAATAAATTGTGTAGTTACAAATAAATTGTTTGTTTATTTGTTAATATTTATTGTAATATCAGCTGCGGCAAGCAAGAAAAATTGTTCATGAATTACGCCATTACTAAACGTTGGCGGTTGCTGAAGATTTGTAAAATTTTATAAATGTAAAGAGGATAGTAAAAATTGTTCGACTCTCAGCACTCACTTGGAATCTGTTAAACGCTTTTACAATTGAACTTTAGCAACTCAACATGCTTATGAGCGCTGTTGTTTTTAATTCGGCCGATACAGCTGGGTTGGAGCAGAATCGAATTTTATTCATTCAACCACCACTTTTTATATGCCAAACGTGAAATGAAGAAAACGCATTTTTTATTCTATTTAAAATGGTTTTTCAATTAAAAAAAAAAAAAAAAAATTGGGTAATTTGGTGAGCAGCACCCTAAGTGTCTGTGTATCTACATCCCAAGGAGATTATTTTTGCAAAAAAAAATGATAAAAAAATAAAAATAATAAAAAAAAAATAAAAATGAAAAACAACAACTAGTTTAGAATGCGCAAAAAGTGACAATTAAATTTTTGACGCAAAAAATTAAATAAAAATATATATGCCTGCGCATATACATACGTACATATATGTATAAATATTCATAAATGCACATATCGAATTTTTTTCAATATATTTAGGCTTCGGAAACACGTACACAGCATCTATATGATATATTTATATACATATGCATATGTATGTATGTTTTTTTGAAATTTTTTTTTACTCTATAAAGGACATGCGGTTCGGGTATATCTGACACACGAAAGCGGCAAAATGGCTTATTGTCAAATTAGAGAAAATTTGTTCATTTTACATATCCCCAGATACATATTATGTACGACTACTTTTCCAAGTTCACTTTCTAAACATTGAAATATGTACTTATACATATGTGCGTTATAGCTTCCATTTAGCCCTTCAAACTGCATGCGTGTGTAGTAAATAGCTTTCTTGATAGACTTTGAAAACTAAATGAAATTACCATGAACTGTTTTTAACACGCACGCATATTTATATACATACAAATTTGTGTTATGCATAGTGTATTCAACCCTTAAGGAAAATTCGTTACCTATGAATATACAAAACCAAGGCCTATATTATCACGCTTTAAATTGTTTTAAAATTCATTAGTTCCCAACTTAACGTGCATTGTATATATATATATATATATGTGTATGTGTGTGTGTATACATATATATGTATAATATTAGTATGAATGAATTCGTTTCCCTGTAGCGAAAATTGGCAAGCT